TCTGAACATTTAACCTACCAAGTGCTTAGATTTAGGTATGATGCTAATTAGTGACATCAGGAACTTAAGGATGAAGACAGTGTTTTTATCTCTGCATGTTGATTATTGTATTTATGCTGATATTGCCCAAACAAACCTTTGAAACTGAGTCAATTCCATGTTTTTGAACAACCGCTGCCGTTTCATTGGAGTCGCCACATGGAGGGCCACCACGCGCCGCCGCCACGCGCCGCCGCCACACGGAGCCGCACGCGCCGCCGCCATGCGCCGCCGCCACGCGGAGCCGTTGTCTCTGTCTGTGGCTCAGTGGGTCCATGTTGACCTGCTGGGTTCACTGGTCTCCATGATGCTGGTTGTTCTCTGAAGAACATCTGAGACCAGAACCAGAACATCTGGGTTTAAATTACATAAAGCCCAAACAGTCTGTGGCTGGTGAGGGGCTGAAAACTTTTTGAAGGTCCAACAGAACCAGATGTTTGCTGGGAGCCATCATGGCTTCACTTCATAAAGGCCCAAATATGGCAAAGCAGAGCAGATTACCCAGAGGACCGAGTGTGGCCCGGTCCAACAGAATGGGTTTGGGTGTGAGAACTAAACCAGAACCAGGTGTTCTGATCAAATCCAGCTCATCACAGTGGGCCGCTGTGGTCCGGATCCAGAACCGGGCTGAAACGGCGGCTCTGATGTGAAGATTCATTTTCCTCCAGAGACAGAAGAACTGCTCTGCAGGAGAGCAGAACCAGAACCAGAACCGCTCTATGTGGGATCCAAGAAAGCTGCTTGGTGTCCTGCATCTGTGAGGCAACCTGGAGGTAGAAAGGTCAAAGGTCGCTGCAAGAACTTCCTGCAGCAGGATGTCGACTGAAAACATCCGTCACCTTCCAGAATTCAGGAAAGACCAAGAAAGATTAAATATGATATTAAGAAATGGTATTGATTATCTGCAGAACACTTTTTCTCCTGTTATTTGTCGCTGAAGAGGCTCTGTGCTGCCCCCAGCTGGTCACCACATGCTACTTCACCTCCGCTGTGCTTCTGCAAGAAGCAAACATAGAGGAACATGTGGAACATCTGCATCTTAAACCAGATACAAATTACAACATGCACGATTGTAGTGAACAGAGAGGGAAGGAAAAGCAGCTTTCGATGCTTAAAGCAACATGTTGGCACAAAGGAGGAAAGCTAATTAAGAGCCGGTTGTGCAACTGCTTTGTGAAAACTTTGCTCTCAAGAGTTTCGCAACTGGGTTTGAAACAAAAGCCACATTTTCTTCTGGAAAACAGAAAATCAAAGACAGATGAGGAAAAGTGGCTTCGGCTCCCACATCAGCGCATTCCTGAGTTTCTAACGCTCCGGTGTGGGACCGACCCGGGTCTGAACGCCAACCCAGCATGTGTGACTGGACCGGTTCAGATCCTGCAGTCACAAGCGTCCTGGATGGGGCCCATGTGGTTGACTCATCCGGGCCAGATGGGTCCCTTTATGAGGACCACGTTGGTATCATGCAGGAGTTTGTGGAACCAAATGGGCTTCACCCAGACTGGTCCCAGTTCAAAGATTGTTTAAAGTGAAAAAACAGTTTGTTGTGAATTTGCACCAAATTATTTAACAGAATGAATCTTAAGATAAATCCGGTGAAGCAGCTAAAGCAGTTGATCCCAAAGTCAGGAAAGTTAAATTCTTTAAACACAAGACAATAAATATTTCCTCTTCTTCAGATCCCTGTTACACATGGAGTCCCTCAGGGCATTCACAACCTGAACACAGTCCTCTGGGTCTCTTCCATTCCTTTTCATAGTTTAACAGAAACATTTAATGATGGATTGTCTTCATCTTCCAGCAGATCTTTGCTTTATTCTGTCTTTAGTTCTGCTTCCCTCCAGCTGAGACTCATTTTTGCTTCGCCTCTGCTGACTTCATTACTGTAAAAGTTTATTTTCTCAGCATCCGGTCCAAAATGCTCCATCATGGTTCTGTTATGAAGAATCTGGTTCCTTTAGCAGCAGCCTCATCATTGAGGCAGTTTCATCAGGACAGAACGTCTCCTGATTCAACCCCAGGCTGCAGACAGAAAACCAAACATCCACAAACTGAAGCTCTTTCACTCCTTCAGATGAACAATCAGTCGAGTCCCAGAGTTTATTTACGGAGTTTGACGGTTAAGTTAGAGCTGCTCTCATGTTGGATGAGCCGGAGGCTCACAGTTCTGTCAACATTTACATGTTCATAAGTGACTCTGGCTTGGATTCATATTTCCACACAGCATCACTTATCATTCCAGAAATCCACTGTGGTTCTGTTCTCCTATTGTTCTGTGATAAACGGGTTTATTGTTCTGCAGAATGAGCAGGTTCTGGAACGTGGCTGCAGCTGGGAGGTCTCGCTGCTCTTATGCAACAGGAAACATTATTTCTACACCTTGAAAGCTTTCGCCATGAAAGATAAATGTTGGGTCATAAAAAGTCATTTGTTTTTAACTGGGTTTGGATCCGGTAAGTTTCCCGACCGAAACTCAGATGAAAAGGTTCTGATTTGATGGTCCGGGCCGACGGATCTCCCTGGTTCTGCCTCGACCTCTTTCCTCGTTTCTTCTTCTTCTTCTCACCAACTTGCTGCTATTTCTACTGTTCACTTTCTTTTCTCTCCATAGAAGCTGCTTTTAGTCATTTCAGCTTTTTATTTAGTGAGTGAACTATGACATATGAATCAATAACACTGAAAATATGACCACATGAACCCATTCTTTCCTCCACAGGCCAAGTGCTTTAACTTCACAAACCCATCGTTGTGAACAATGATCTAAAACTAATGCACGAATCCTGCTGCAGGAACCTTTAGCACATCGCCACCAGCTGCTTTCTGCACTGAATGAATCGTCTCAACATCAGGAAATCAGATTTATTCACAACATTCATCATCAGAGGAAACAGAAAACAATCCAAATATAAACCTTTTCTTCTTCTGTGTTTACATATCTACAATTCCAGAGGCGCATTGTTCCTTTATCACCACAATAAAATGTCCTTGTAGAGATTAATTCTACATAATTGTTAATGAATTATGTAAATAAACAAAATCCAACAAAATAAATCATTTTCTTATGTGAGAATGATTATAAGGTTATAAGGCTGATCCAAACACTGCAGACAACTTTAAAAAAACTAAATTAAAACTAAATGGAAGCTCAACTTTCAAATCCTAAAAATATCTAAAGATGGAAGTGCAAAAAAAAATAAAGAAAATCTGTTTTAATTCCTGTTTATGTTTGATCGATTTTTAACGACAGAAAACTGGATTAATTTAAAGTTAGCACCATGATGGGGAGGGGAGCCTGAACACGACCCGGGCATCACAGAAAGTTTCTCGGCCTCCTGGTGGTTTTTATAGACGATTAATCAATAAACTCAGATGTTCAGCCGCCAAACTTTCCACTGTCCTGCCATTTCCACTCTGAAATGGCAGGACATTTTAACTGGTTCAGACTGGTTTTCATGCTGTGACCGGATCAGAACCGGCACCGGCTTTTTACGGCTGCTGCAAACAGAATCCAATCAGCTTCTCTCATTGACATCAATAATATCCGTTTATGGATTCACTCAGAGCTTAAAATGATTCAGAATTTTGAAAAATAAGGAAAGAAAACTGTGACATGTTTCCTAATGTCCACATTAAAATCAATGCTGAATGCATTTTTAATGCTTGGAATATTTTAGATTGCAAATGCCTCCTGAAATTTGCCAAAACAAAACAAAATCTCTTAATTTGAACCCAAATCATTTTCTTCAACGTCTGACATTAAATGACCTTGTATTTTAGTTTTGGGTTAAAATGATCATTTCAATTTGATCAAATCCATAAAGAGTTCAGACGGTTCTGAGGTCAGACGGTTCTGAGGTCAGACGGTTCTGCGGTCAGCCGTCGTTCTGATCCGGTGAGGACAGGTCCCGTCTCCCTCAGACCAACTGGTTCTGGTATGAAACGGGTCCAGTTAAGGTCCAGTTAAGGTGTGAACCACCACCTGGGCTGAAAGCAGGAAGCTACAATCCAGGAGAAGCCAAAGCCAGATTCCCTCAGGCTGCTGAAGTTTGATGGAGTGAAACTGGACCTTTGACTGCAGGCGGGTCCGGAGCGCGTCACAAAATAACCAATCACTTTGACTGTTGACGCAACATGACTGAGGAGGTTGATGCTCAGACCGTCTTCCTAACGCATGGAAACTCAGCAGACCGAACCGTGTGGGCAGATCCGACCCAGTTCCGCCGGTTCTGTTGGGAGGATCGGCTCCCAACAGAACCGAGGCTCCCAAACTGCTCTGAGAGGAAGGAAACCCCAATCCTTCAACCCATGTCAGTTTAAAGGGAAGTTCTGCCAATGATGAGAAAAGATAAAAACTTTGAAGAAAAATATTCTTGATGAAACAGAAAATATTCGGACCAGAACCAGACGGTCCCTGATCATCCGCGTCATCCTGATTCCCTTTAGAGGAGCTTCCTGAGTGATTCCCTGACGGGGAACTAAAAGCCTCTGATTCGTCACCAACACGGTTTGACCAGCAGGTTCTGTGATCAACGGCTTGGATTCTGATAGGACCGGTCCATCGGTCCAATCAGAACAAGTTTGGCAGCAGACATGAAGATCCAGAGAAAAAAGAAAAGACAAACACGACATCCTGCTGCATCGGTCAGCAGATTTCTATGTACAAAAGAATCTAATTCACAAACTCAATTTCAAAGCTGAAGACAGTGATTTTGTTTCCTATCGAGTTTTTAGCTCCTGTCTCTTTAAGGCCCAGGCTGCTCTGATTGGTTAAATGTTCTCAATACGAACCAAGAGGCAGACTGATGTCATCATGTTGTCTTTTTACATGCAGAAATAAATAAAAGCAACCAACAGAAGCGTTAAAGTTGAGCTTCCTGTCGGCTGACGGTCGACATCTGGCAGACTCATTACTGGAAAACCTTAAATCAGAGCTTCTTCTCTCTGTACTTAAACTCCACAGTTTTTCCAGTCCATCCATCACAAATCCCAACTCTCCCCATAAACACGCAGGGAGGCTGCTAAAGGAAAATCAATGCCTTGCTCTCCTTTAATTAGATTGAGAAGGAGTTCCTGTAAAGCGGAGGATTTAGTTGTCTGGTTCTTTCAGAGCTTCAAATGAAACCTGACAGAGACACAATCCCTCTGGTTCTTCATCTCCGATGCTCCTTCTTCTTCTTGTTCCTGGAAGGCGTCTTGATGGGCTGACTGGCCGTGCCGTTCTCCAGCGGCCGGGACGCACGGCGGCAGGCGGGGACACGGGGAGAACAGGTCCGCTTCCCCGTCCAAGCTGGACTTGAAGGGCCCGGCCGGAGAGAACTTCAGAGGACTGAGGAGAAACAGAAACAAGGATCATTCCAAAAGCTGTTGCAATAAAGATTCAAATGATTTTTCAAGTTGAGATGGAAATCAAAATCTTCATATAAAATTGTGAGACTTTATGATGGTGAGTATATTATATTATAGTTTATTCACCACCAGTCAGAAGAAAACTGGAATTTAAGACGTTTTAAGACCATGGATGGATTTTACACCCATTTCTCCACAGAAATGTTTAAATGTTGTCCAGATGACTGACAGTAAATTTTCACTTACCCAGGACAGATGGAAGAAGCTAGCTAGCCTGGTAACCAGTAAAGGCATGTTAGCAGCTAGTTAGCATTAGCCTCAGCTTGAGTGAGACTGAAATGTTCACTTAACAGAAACATCATGTGAGAAAAATACAAAGACTTTACTAGATTCAGTGGAGCTGTGAAGACGTGTGACTGGCGTATTAAAGGCCAAACTGGTTTTTAAGAGGAACTTCAGACATTTTAAGACATTTGTAGACATATACAAATTAAAGAATTACGAATGTGTAGAAACTCTGCAACTTTATTTTTTTTATTACAAACATTGACAAAGTTTGCTGAGTTGCTAATTAAATTCACCCAATTTATATTGTATATTTGTATTTGATTCATTTGTTGAACTCAGTTTTTCATTTTTGACATTAAAACAGAAACATTTAGATTTTCAGAAGTAATAAAATGGTTCAACATGAAGGAGTTGAATAGTTTAGAAGCCACTGGACGCTGCAGTACCACTTCCTACCTGATGGGGGTGCGCGGGCTGCTGTTGTGGCGGCGGACGTGACGCGATCGCGGCTCAAACGAGAATCCTTCCTTCAGACTCTCGAGGACCGATGGTGCCACGAAGGAGAAACCCTGCCGGAGGAAATGAAAACTCAAACAGCCGAAAGAAAAAAAAGGAAAAGTTCCAGAACATGGAGGCTGATGGACTGACGGCGAAGGCGAGCTCGGCGCTGTGGCTCAGCCTGGTGTCGTCCGGACTGTCCACCGGCGTCTGTCTGGTGAACCTGGTGTCAAACTGGCTCACGTCTTCCTCAGAGTGCTGACAGGAGGGAACGGAGACGCGCTCAGTTACAGCAGAACACGCTTCCAGTTTAAAGAGGAGAAAAAGCTCTGAAAGTCAGAGCGAGCGTAGAAGAAGACCAACCAGCGGTTTGTACGGCGGTTCCACTCGCTTGTTCAGCAGCTCCTCCCAGTTGATGTGTCTGAAGAACCTGTGTTTCTGCAAAGCAACGGTTAGAAAACCAGAGAAATGATGCACTTTGTAAAACCAGGATGCTGGACGTTCAGAAACACTGAAACAGCATCCAGGATTCACACATCAAAATCTGACAGTTAACAGAGAAAACAGCAGATCTGAACTCAAAGTCAAAAGCAACATTTTCAGAAGCGGAATCGGTTCTGAACGGTCAGGAGGAGGCAGTGGGAACAGAAACGTTTTAAACGTTTTAAACTCCAGCCTCTATGAGGAGGAAGCTGCTTTGGGATTTCCCAGCCAGGCAAGAAGCTCCATCCTGGTGCATTAAGGAACGTTAACTCAGATCCTCCATCCTGGTGCATTAAGGAACGTTAACTCAGATCCTCCATCCTGGTGCATTAAGGAACGTTTAACTCAGATCCTTCCTGCCAGCAGCTGTCAGACTCCAGAACCTTCTCTGCTCCCAACAAACCCAACATGTTCACAGCCTGCTGCTGGTGTTCACTGCTTCACTCGGGTCAAATAACATTTCTGCTTTTATGAACTGCACTCCTGGATGTGCAGTACACATGCACATCATGTACATGCAAATAAAAAATGCATGACATTTCTATTTCTGCACAGTATTTTGTCATGTTGTGATCTTGTACAGTACATTGTTGATCTTATTTTTTGTTGTCTTTAATCTACATTTTGAAGACTTTTGGATGTTTTGTGTGAACCTTCAACCAGATCATGCCGTTACACCAGAGTTGGACAGCAGAGGACATTTCTGATCAAAGACGACCTGCAGAGACTACCTGGATAGCAGCAGCGTCGTCTTTCCCAGAGCCGAGTCTCTTCGCCGGATTCTTCTTCAGCAGCTGGAATAAAATTAAACAGAGAAACATTTAATGATTTCTGCAGCTTGTCTTCAAAAAAAACCTCATCAAACTTGGAAAATAACTTTGTTCAGTGCCGTGTCGCTGTAACTTCATCTGACTGCCACATGCTCAGACTCTGTATTATAATAGCTCTGTGTGTGTGTGTGTGTGTGTGTGTGTGTGTGTGTGTTTGTGTGTGTGTGGTGTGTGTGTGTGTGTGTGTGTGTGTGTGTGTATGTGTGTTAATAATTACTTCAGAGATTTCCACATCATTCTAACTTATTTTTCAGTCATTTAGCACTTGAAACCTGTGACGCTGCATGATTCGCTTCTGCCAGCAGGTGGCAGCGTTGCATCAGCTTCTCACAATGAGCCTCAGTATCAAGTATCTATCAGTTGGTAGTGAATAAAGGATCGATATACAGAGTACAGTTGCTACTGGAGCCTAAATGTTCAAATAATGTGAATAAAACAGAAAATGTTCAACTTTGTGTTTCTGCACAAAACAGAAAGCATTTTGTTTAAATTACCTGTTCAGTTCATATTTTATTTAAACTCAAATGTGAAGAGTTTTCTCCACCTGCATTCATTTTATAACTCAGTTTTCATGTTCATATTAAACACAGCTTACATCTGCTGAAGTCTGACATGATTCATAACGTCTGAGTTTTGTTTTCATGTTGCTTTGTGGCAACAATAAACACATTCCTGGTTCAACAATAACTTCTAATTACTGTAGAGAGAAAAATGAAAATCTGCTCCAGGCTGAGAGGATCAGACTGAGGACTGGATGTGGAATAAATGTATTTTTCATAGTTACAACATGAGCAGGTTTCTCTTTCTGTAGGAGATGAGGGAGCAGACACCTGGAAACTTTGGTCGCATTTTGGTAAATAACCTAATATAACAGAGAAATCGTTAAAAAGTCCAATAATTGATTGATTATTGTAAAAATGTGGAATTTTTTTGCACTTTATAGGCTCTATGTTTGAATATATTGGCTGTAGCATTAAAACCAATGTCAAACCACAGGGTGTGTGTATTTATAAATGCTGTACGTGTGTGTGTGTATGTGTGTGTGTGTGTGTGTGCGTGTGTGTGTGTGTGGCTGTGTGTGTGTGTGGCTGTGTGTGTGTGTGTGTGGCTGTGTGTGTGTGTGGCTGTGTGTGTGTGTGTGTGGCTGTGTGTGTGTGTGGCTGTGTGTGTGGCTGTGTGTGTGTGTGGCTGTGTGTGTGTGGCTGTGTGTGTGTGGCTGTGTGTGTGTGTATGCGTGCGCGTGCGTGCGTGTGTGTGCGTGCCTCTGTGTGTGTGTGTGTGTGTGTGTGTGCTGTGTGTGTGGCTGTGTGTGTGTGTGTGTGTGTGTGTGTGTGTGTGTGTGTGTGTGTGTGTGTGTGTGTGTGTGTGTGTGTGTGTGTGTGTGTGTGTGTGTGAGACCTTTGTGATCATGTCTTTGGCATCGTCTGTGATGTACGGAGGAAGGCTGACTTTACACTTCAGGATCTTATCCATGGTCTTCTTCCGGTT